AAAAACTCCCTCCGGCTTATAGTTGCCTTCTCCGACCCCAACCAGTTTTTTCTTGGAGTCAGAACGAGAGTAACTCCACTCCTACAACCGAGCGGTCCTAAACTAGATATTTAGTTTCGACGTGTTTATTCGACATTATCCCTCTGTCACGAACCTTGGAGTGACCTTCAATAGCGCTTTTAAATTTGATAAGCAGGTCAGCAGCGTAGTCAAAACCTGCTTTTTTAAAATACGACTATTGGCCAAGACCAAGTCGTTTTTATCTTTTAAAGACCTGGAAAGGGTTATTAACGCCTTTGTTACCTCGAGGTTGGACTACTGCAACGCTCTGTACGTGGGTATGGACCAGGCGTCAATTAAACGCCTGCAACTGGTGCAGAACGCAGCTGCATGTCTACTCACTGGCCACAAAAAGCGTGACCACATCACCCCAATTCTGGCCTCACTGCACTGGCTTCCAGTTCGTTTCAGAATTGATTTTAAACTCCTTTTATTTGTTTTCAAAGCCTTAAATGGGCCGGCTCCTGCCTATATAGCTGAACTCCTCCAGCGCTAAACCCCAGCCAGAGCTTTAAGGTCTGCTGACCAGCTGCTGCTGATAGTGCCCAAAACCAGGCTCAAAACCCGAGGGCACCGAGCCTTCGCAGCAGCTGGCCATAGGCTCTGGAACACTCTGCCCCTCCATGTGAGGTCGGCCCAGACCCTAGGGGTTTTTAAATCTACTCTTAAATCACACTTCTTCTCCCTGGCCTTTTAGTCAGAGCGGAGCACGACTCCTGACTTTTCCCTGTGTTTTTTACATATCTGTTGTAATTTATTGTCTTTTATTGTGATTGTAGTAATGTGTTTTTATGTGATTGTAGAATTTATTACATGTATAGCACTTTGGCCCGACTAAACATCCCTTTTAAATGTGTTGTATAAATAAACTTTGATTTGATTTGAATTTGAATACAGTGGGCAAAGATTACTCGCCGGTTTTGCAATTTTCTGGTCTAATAGTCTATTGTGTCTTTTATTAGGATCACCATTAGGACAAAATGAGCTTGTTCTATTCTTTCTGGGTTCCACAGACATGTACACACATAAACACAACAAACAAAACTGCTCTTCTCATGTTATTAACAATTAACAAAATAAGTGAACCAGATTATCTTTTACACCATTAAGCCAAGCATAACATTCACAATCAAACATTTCCTCAATAATGAATAACTAATAGAAACAAATAGAAATTTATGGCAAACATAAATCCCTGTCTGAAATAAACTCACATTGTATTTTAATGTTTTTATTCCCTGTTTAACGTTATATTAAAATTCAAGAAAATAGGGTATTAAAAACCAAATAATATTAAAAAATAAATACATTCTTTATCAGGAGGGATTTTCTACTTTCACCCATAACTCATCGTTCATTGTATACATAGACACAGACACAATTTGAATATCATTTAGGAAATTAAGATATTGTGATAACAAAAGTTTGTACCAATCTTTATTATTCTTTTGAACAATCGCACTGGCCATAACTGACCATGGTTCTGTATGAAAGTTTTAATGCTATGTAAAGTTTGACGTCTACAAAATGAACACTGGTCCTGTTTTCGTAAATGATATAAGTTTTGTTTAGTTGTGTTTTAATCTGGTTATATTGATGAATCATGACATGCAACTGATAAGTGATTGAACCAGAGGAATACATTCACAAATAACTTTGATTTTGTGAATTTATTTTCTCTTTCCTCAGTATTTATTTAGCTTCATGGTTCCCACCTCACGCCACCTGTCTGTCCTCGTCCCTGCAGGTGTGGCGATCTCTGAACCGCTCCGTCCAGAGCTCAACTCTACCGACGTGTAACGCCAACATCCAGAGGGAGCGGGCGGAGATCTGGGTGTTCTGTGACGTGGTCCAGTCGGAGCAGGTGGGGTGTCTCCTGAAGGATGAGCTGCAGCTGACGGGGAGGATCCGCCTGTCGGTTCACAGGCTGGACAACATCTTCAGCATGTAGACGCACAACAGGTGGATCAGCCTGACTCGGACTCCAGTGATGTTGTACAGCTTCAGATGAGATCCAGAAGAGCAAACACATTAATATATGCTTATAATCAAAGTTCTGTTTTATGATGAAATACTTGACTTGAGATTGTTTCCAAGCTTTGGGCTGGAAAAATCCTAATGATATCACCTGACCGTCATCAAGGTGTATTATATTTATCCAGCACACCAACAGCAAAACACATGTTATGCACCTTGAAAGAATTAGTATGCTGTCTAATGTAAAAACTCTGCATCTAGCATCTTTGTCCTCAGCGCTGAGCCATTTTTGTGCAGTTGGGGAAAATAATGACATTTTCAGAAAAGCACTGGTAACGTCACAGTAGAAATTGTAGGAGAAGTTTTCTTTTTTGTTGTTGGATGAAACGCTGGGTGGAGGCACTGCCAAGAGCCCTCACAGTGCCTTGATGTCAGAAGGTGACGCTATGTGGACACCTGGCCTTAGAATATCTCACCGCGTTAGCTTTCTGTTACAGCCCCTTTTTGGCCCGAAACTGAGCTGTCTCTGAACTTACCCTTTATAACACAAAAGTCACTCAACAGCACAAACAAACTATAACGACCGGAGCACGCAGGCCAGCAGCTCCCATGCCAGCAGCTCCCATCTTCAAGTTCAAGGCTTCCAATATATAATGGTCGTGAGTTAAAAATAATAAAACAGAAACACAAAAAGTATTTATCAACAGTAAAAACATATCTATCTTTGCAGTATTTCCATTGAACACACTATATACCTTTACAGAATCCGTTATTTTACACTAAAGTAGATTAACGTACTACTAACAAAATAGGATACTATTACATAATACGAGTTGCCGTTTATTGCAATTAGATACAGTTGGAAAGGGCTGTCTGACGAAGGTAAAGCAGTGGAAATATTCTAAATAAAGAATTCACTGATATTGATATTATCTTTACTGTTTGAAAATGGTTTCAAGGTGACTAAAATAAGTTTTGCTGATGACCCTTCCACATCAGTACATTGCTTAGATTACTGGCTGCTTCTACAAACTGGGGCATGCTAACCAATATCCATAGTCAATACTCATCACCAAAAACATGATCATAACCAGGATACTGATCCACATGTTAACACACAACCGTTTTTAAATCATCAGCAATTCAACATACATTCAGTCATAAAAGCTAGTACACATACACAACGATTTTTTTAGTTGCCTGTTTTCAAATGTAACAATATTTCGCTCATGACCACATTGTAAAAGTGTGTGATTTTTTAATAATTCATAGAAATATACTTCATTAATGGCTGAGCTGAACTGAAGGGGATTGAAGCCTCAACCAAAATTGAATTTTGTGCCAAATTCCAGTGTGTTTTTAAATGCTTATGAATTGATTGTATTTTCAATAATATATCTCTTTACTTTGCAATGTAAATAAAGGTTTATTTTTTTTAATGAATGGTCTGTAGTGATGTATGGATGAACAGCACTGCATGTGATGTGCAGTGTGTTCTGGAAAAGTCGCAGCAGAAGTCACATGATACGGGAGTCACCCCCAGTGCTTTTCACTAACAGAACAACACACGGATATACGCATGAGACAGTGCTGCTTGTATAAGACCTGAATGAATGAGGACAGCATGAATACATTACACCCCCATCACCCACTCGCTCGTTTGTTGCTATGGTTCCCCCTGTTTGACAGTACAGCACACTGCATTAAAAATCTAGGTCACAGGATGTGACATCAGTGCCCTGCCTCCCAGCCAAGCTATAATCGGTTGTAATCTGTTTAATTCACGTTTTTGGTATTTTAAAGTGATCTAACAAGAATTGTGTGAGAAAAATCCGATGTAAAGTGCATATGTCTAAACTATATCCCTTAAAATACATTATTTTTTCGAGGTTGCTGTCTAACGCATTAATTTTGCATCACATGTTCGCAAGTGGTATTTTATTTTGAAAGACATCCGGAATTTGTCAATTCTGCTCCCTGTACTCTTACACAGTTCATGTTTATGACGAATTTTAAGAAGTAAAATGTGTCATTTAAATACATGTAAGGAATAACAGTTTACATGAGCTGCATAATGTTATTTATTGACAAATAAATAAAATACTAAAAAAAGAGATTATCAAATAGAACCAAAAATCACCAAAAATAATACAATTCAAAGTTCCTAATTGTAGAGGTGTTTTAAAAGATTTCCCTTTTAAGTAAATCTATATTAGAACTTTTGGGTATTTAATTTCCGTAAAACGTGTTTTATTCTGACACTATACCGGAAGTGAATATACTCTTGGCTAAACGACCCAAAGTCTTAATACGAGACGGCTGAACCACGAGCGTCTTATTATTGGAAATAATCGATAGATATATTGGAATATTTCGAGTTTCGAGGATATCCGTTCGTCGTTTTGTGCTCAATCCTCCGTTATGGCGACTGCTGCTCGCTCTTCTGGAGGTTTTAATTGGTGAAAAAAGGTGAGACGTTTGGAGCTACTGACACCGAAGCTAGCAGGCTAAGCTAACACTGGCATGCATTGTAGTTTCCCGTTTCCGCTTCAGTTCATAATGTCTGATGCTCTTATTGCACTTTTTGGCAACAATTAGCAGCACAAACTCAATATTGGAGGATAGACAGGAATACAATACTTACTTTGACTCGATATTCGGAAATTACCTTCAATGTCCGGTCTGATCAGTTATTTGTACTCTACTGTTTACTTAACGAAAGCCCGTTTACAATTCAGCATGTTTTATGCAATTATCAGCATACATTCATAAAAGGCTTATTATTTCAAATATACAAGTAGTGATACATGTTTGACACTTTTTTTTTTAAATATCTCTTCGGGATAACTAATGTGTCTGAAATAAGTGTATACATTTTGAATAATGACATTACATCTAGTCTGCTCTGATAATCTCCCGACAGGAACTGATATGGACTGTTTACCTAACGAAGGCCCTTTAACACTCGCTTTGTTTTTGTTTGTTTTTTGAGTGAGCTGATATGTGCGGGGAAATATATTGTTCCATGCAAGACATCTTCCACTTTTTTTAATCTTTTCTGCGCTTCATTACTGATCAATAAAAAGTTAAAATATTTAATCTAACAAACTATCAGACATAATATAATCAATCTTTCTGTTTTCTAAGCAAGTTCGTTTTATTTTTTAGCAGAAGGCAGAAAGAAATCACAGATTTTATTCTGTATTATTTAAACATGAATTAGTATTTATTTTTCTTAATTTTGTATTTGTTTCCTGTTTATCCTACAATATTAATAGTCGAACATATTTTTCAGCTCTAGTTTAATATTGTATATTAATTACATTATGATGACGTTCAGAAATATGTTATTGATTTTTAATATCAATTACTGTGCAGTCTTACATTGTCATTTAAATGACAAACTACAGGCAAGGACATCTTGTTTTCAGGTTGCCTCCAACAATGCTACTTACTAAAATATATAAAATTACAAGGGAAAACAATTAAACGTAGACAATTATATAATGTAATACATTTTTTTTTTAATCTTCATAGATTATTTTTACACGCGTAATATATTATTGTAATATAAGAAGTGTCTTTTTTAAATCTTGAGGGCTGACTATTGCATTGGACACTTTAGTTTACACTAGTTGTTTCCAGGGCTGCAAGCTGAGTATTGACATTACATTAACGCAGTGATGTGCAATGTTTGCAAGTTCACGTCATGCTAAAATCCTTTTGTTGCTGAAAACAAGGAAAACCCGCCAAGACAGCCACTGCAACGGAGTGCACGTCTTCAGATGTCTCGCTTTTGTCTGACCATCATTCCAAAACCCAAAGATTTGATACATTTCCTGTGATAGAAAACAGCAGAAAATATTTATACTGGAGAGGATGGAGCCAGAGAATATTTGGACATGTGCGCCTCAAGATTCAAGGCTTTTATTGTCATTCGTACATTGCTACAGTGTAGTTATGTCCATGAACATCTTAGGTCCCAGGCTCCTCCAACAGTGCAACACAATAAAACAGACGAAATAGTGCAAGTAAATACAATAAAATAGAATCAAAGTAGTGCCATAAGAGTCGATATACAAGTGATAAATAATTAGTAAGTTGCAAACAGATGAATGTTGTGGATGTTCTTAGTTCAGGTGTTTAACAGTCTTATGGCCTGTGGAATGAAACTGACAAATGACTGAAGTGATGAATCTATCATGAAACAAGTCTTCTTGCTCCAAATAGTTTACAATCTAAATTCTTTACCTCGCTGTGCCCAAAGGTATTGCAGTCCATAGAGGGTCCTCTTATTATAGGTGGCGATTTCAACTCTGTCTGTGACCCTATAGTGGATCGATCCAGCCACCCTCTCCCTTCAGATAAAAACATTTCCGCCGCCTTGAGGGACTTCCAATCCGAGCTCGGTATTACAGATGTGTGGCGCCTAGTGCACCCAGATGCCCGAGAGTACTCTTTCTATTCTGGTGCGCATAAAAATCAACGTATAACCCAAAAGAGACAGTACAGGACAAAATCCTGTCGTTGTGTCGTGTGTGAACAGTCCCTGTGAACTTAATTTTTGTTAGATCCAAGTGGTCCTACCACTGAGTCACAATTTCACGGAGCGAGGGTGAGTTCTCAAGATAATTTACAATGCCAAACATACATAACCAATTAAGTGGAATAAAATTAACTTTTCTTTAGTAATAACGAAGTTTATTTCCACTAGCTCCATGTTTCCTTACCAGGGATCCGTTGTATAGGGTACGTTCGTCAGGCTCGTATAAGCTGGACAGGATGTGTATGTGGTTACTCTAACGGATATGATAGTTGATTGCACATTACAAAAAAAGAGTAAGTCCTTTACGTCTGGCCGAGTTTTGTTTTGCTAAAAATTAGTAGTAGGAGTGCTAGTAAGATTACATGACGTATACGCGGCTTAACTGTACTTTCGTGATTATTTACATCAAAGTGAGGTGAACTCAAATGTTTTTTATTAGCTAAACCAAAAATATTCAGTGTAGGTGTAGGCTGCCCTCCCTTTAAGTCGTCGAGAGTGATGGTTGAAAAATTAGAGTTAAATTAGTAGTAGAAGTTGGGTGCTAGTAAATACAAATACAAGCGGCTTAACCTGTACTTTCGTGACTGTTTGTATACTTATATGAAATCAGGTTGAAGTAATTTGTGCAATAATTTGCACGGATTTGAGTCATTAAGTGGTAAAGTATGCGTACCTGTTGTGTGAAACAGCACAAACCGAAGAGCGGCGTGTCACTTCGCAAGGCGTAAAAAAACTGCAGGGTTGATAGGCCGAAGGGGGTTTTGGAGTTTACTCAGCTTCTTTAAAAGGGCGCTACAAGCAAAACTAAAATAGCCTTTGCCATAGCGAAAAAGAGAAAAATTTCGACTGCCAAGCTCTAATGATTCATCGGGGATAAAGTTAACTTGTTTGTCAACAACCCAAGACAGTGTCCGAGAAATTTCAGCGGTCGAAAAACCTAAACGTTCCCAACCAACCTCCCTTTTTACACTGTCTATGGCGTCGTACTGTGAATTCATTATCATGATACCGTAAAAACTCAGAGTATTGTAAGACCTAGTTTAAACTTCTGTAGTAATACATTAATAGGAAC